CCTGTCCTTTATGACCACGCCCAGAAGTTTTTCCCCGTCCAGATCCTCTACCACGACCTTTACGATGTTCCTTTGGAATAAAATGAAGAAGAAGTTTATAATTGTCGTGAGATTTTCCTAGTACCTATGGCAACTTTGAGGGGAACACTTGATGTAAACAATACATTTTCTACTGAAAAATATCAAATTTGCATATTTATGTCCACGGATGGAAGTGGTTGGAAAGAAATAAGATGTGCTAAAAGGTTTTCACACATTTTAATTAAAGCACATAAATTGCTGTACTTAGTATTTGCCAGCAAATGTATTTGCTTGAGGCATTTTGCTTTTGTCCCACAAGACAATGTAAGCTAACAAAAGGAATTGTTTCTGAATTCAATAAAATAATATGGAAGGGAAATTTCTGCTTTTAACAATTCTGTGCTGATTTATTTAAATGAATGCGTGCGCTCTGATTGGTCAATCAGCTATGGTTTATTGTGCCAGTAAACTCATGGAAATTTTGCTTGTCTTCTGAATTATTATATAAAAGCAATAGACCTCAAGTTTTTATGGTTTAGAGGCATAATAAACCACTTGGGATGTTGGATGAACACTCAAAGAATTCGTAAATCACTCGCCTGCGGCTCATGATTTACGAATTCTTCTCATGTTCTGCCAACATCCCGTGTGCTGGTTTATCAGCCTATAAACCATAAAAACGTATGGTCTATTGCTTAAGAAAACATGGAAACAAGCGAGTAAAGCATGGAAAAGCCACATCCCTGATACTGAAACTAAAGGCAAATAAATTGATATGAAGAGCTGCTAACTGACAAACAAACTTGATCCAAGAAGGTGAAAATGCTTGAAAACACTTGCAGTTTATATCATTTACCTATCTTGCCAAAAGCAACTAAATGCAATATGGCACTACACTACCTGACACAACTCAATTCTTGGCTTACTATTATCAATTAACAAAAATAATTATGTAAATACAATCTTAGTTGCTGATTTAGTTGTTAGTGCATGTCAGTTTAAAAGGATGGAGAACTACTATGGTTAGAATATTAAGTGCATTGTTGAATCTTTATCAAAAACACACCCATCAGATCTGACATGTCAATATTTATTTTTTCAAACTTTAAGCAATCTAATTTTATTCACCTGTTTTGCAAAGCTTGCAATGGGGTGAAACTTCTTCATCGATCGATGAAAGACGTAAATGAGTGCCCAAACGAGCTCTAATAACTTCTTGAATCCA